CGTTGCCTATTGGGATATGTTAGGCCGTTCAGAATGCAATAAAAACCATATTTTTAAGTTTCAATCGAAGGTTATTTGGTCTGACAAGACTAAATTAATCGCTTTCAATTAGATGGCCGGGCATAGTATTGGATCAAAGACCCAAATTAAGCCTAAGCGCATCATGTACTGCAAACTGTGAATCACAGTGGTAGGATCTTAATTGTTTGGGGTTGTATTTCAAAAATTTTGTTGGTCCGTTAGTACGCATTATGCGTAAGGAACAGTATCTGTTCATATTTCAACAAAATTTGCAAGATGTAGTCGAAAAATGAGAGTTTCTGCTGAAAAATAACCCAAAACATACTGCATATGTTCGCAAAGACTGGATACAAAAGCAAACATTTTCTAATTTGAAATGACCTCCACAAACCGCGGACATGAATCTCATCGAATTTGCGAAATCAACTAAAAGCACAGCTTAATAAGTATCAGAGTCCGTAAAATCGAGTACATGAGCTGTGAAAGCAAACTAAGGATATACCTCCAGAATTTTTACAAAGATACAAATAAGGTATGCCAAATCACATCTAGGAACTGAAACAGGCAAAAGAGTACTGAACATTGTGTTAGTAGTTCCTTTTTTCGTGGAAATTGTTAAAAAGCCCTTAAAAATATATGAGTGCAAAACTGTAACATCTGCCTTAATTTACATTTTTGTCTGCTGGTTTTTTATTGTTGTTGTATTGACTTCAAATCATTATGAGAGAGGGAGTAGGGATGTACCAATAAAAATATACAGCAAAAGTATGAAAGTCGTTAGAACTTGGAAATATAGCGGTGGCTGAAACAAAAAGTGTTAAACCATGTTACGGTTTTGCTCGTCACTCTATATTCAATTAAATCCTGCGAATATATATAACATTTGCTTCTTAATCAACCCAAGAGGACATATCAAATAATAACACATATTATTTTGTTTATTTTATATTATGAGAGGCTGTTTATTTTTAAAACAGTAAAACAAATTATTACATAAGTTGAATTTAATAATTGAATGTTCATCATACGCCCTGTCAGACCAGTTAAAAATGTTCTACAATTGCAAATTTTCAGGACACCCTTACAAACCCAAACAGAGAAAATGATACAGATAAAACGCAAGTTTTTAAAAGAAATTGTAAAATAAAATTTTTTGATATAATTGTACTTTATACAAAATAAAATATACAGTATTTTTTATTAACGACTTTAAAACGAAACATTCGCAAGTATCTTCATTTATGTATACTGTAACTATCAATATCTTACAAAGAGAAGTCAAATTTTTTTTTAATCTACAACTAATAAAGTTAGAAGGACGGAATTCGAGGATGTGGTAGTTTACATATTGACCTTTTCAAAAATAAATATTGGAAATTTCTAAGGATATTCAAGGATAAAGTTTTAAAAGGATATTTTTAACACTTATTTGTCCTGGTGCACCCAAAAATTTAATTTTTCATACATTTTTCAGTTTATAAACCTATTTTAAAACTACTTTATTTTTTATGAATAAGGCCATTAATCTTTATGTTTCTCCATCAACCCTAAAAACTTTTAAACAAATCAAGCTCATGGAGTGTGAACCACGTCCATTTTTGTATGGAATGCCCCATATAGATCTATATTTACATACCTTTTTCACTTATTAAATGTTTTTTTTTTGTACCCGAGCGCACTTGTGCACAAGGGTATATTAATTTTGTTCACATAACTGTTGTTTGTAACAGCCAAAACGAATCGAGATAGATATAGACAAATGCATGCATAAATGCTCAGAATGAATAGAGAAATCGATTAAGCCATGTCTGTCTGTCCGTCCGTCTGTCTGTTGATATTTACAATAATTTTCAGACGAAAAGTAAGAATATTATAAATTTTTGGAAAATGGGCGTAGCCACGCCCACTTATGGTTACATGTGTATTTCTTGGTAACCGCTACACCAATTTCTTCCAAACTTGGCACAGCTGTTGGCCTTTATACAGCATACTAAATGGCCGGAAATTTAAAAAATCGGACAATAACCACGCCCACATCCCATATAACGGTAATTTAGAGAAATAAAAAATCTTCGATAAATCAGTAAATATTAAAGCTAATTTATTCAAAATTGATGCTTGCAACAATTCTTTACCAAGGAATACGTTTATGGTAAAATTTTGGAAAATGGGCGTGGCAAAGCCCACTTATGATCACATATATGTATATCGGTAACCGTTCTACCAATTTGTACCAAACTCGGTGTTTTTATTGTGCTTGCCACATAAAAGCAAAACGTTCAAAATTATTGAAATCGGACTAAATTTACGGCCGCTTTTCATATAACGGTAAATTTCGGAAATGCTTGAAACTGCAATATTTCGAAATTTTAGGACGCTAATTTACTTAAAATTTATACACCCCGGCTTACCATCTAGCGGTAGGTTTCGGAAAGGTGAAAAAACATATATATAATACTTGCGCCGGGTATTTAATGTTCGGCTCCACCCGAACTTAGACTTTCTTACTTGTTTTAAGTAAAAATAGTTACTAGAAATAAAAATTTGTAGCGAGACTCGCATCGCACCGGCAAAATCAAAGCTAGGCTTGTCAATCATGTATGTAGAACGTAGATGCACGCAAGCTTATTCATATTTAAGTATATGTATGGAGAATCTTTCGTCTCACCAAGTTTTGAATCACCAATTGTGTTAAAAATTTTTTTATTAAAAAAAACCTTCCAATAAGATAACTATTTGTGGTGGATTACAACGCTTTGATGTCTTCAATACTTGGACTAGCCTTGATCTTGATTGGGTTGGCCTGAAATAATTTTTTTTTTAGGCAAATATCTTTCTCAAATTATTTCGCAGCAACTTTTCATTTTGTTTTGCACTTTATTGTTATCATTTAGCGTTAAGGGGCTAATATTATTGACAGCATTTTACACATTAAAGTGCATTTATCACAGTACAGCGCGGCAGGACACTAATGAGATGTCGCTAGGGTGCTATTGTTGATACCATCTACAATCGTATTCTTTTATAAAAGCCGTGATTTTTATTCCTTATAGTCTGCTTCCTTACTTGCTTTCGCCATATTCACAACTTGTCGCTCGCCCTTATGTTACTCTGCAGGAATTTAGCCCTCCGTCACTTGACGTAGACGCTGTAGTGAATTTCGTATTTATGCCAATAAATTTTTGTGTGCGCGTCTGTTGCGTTGACATTTATGGGCGGTCGCAGCACAATGACCCATTGGCAGATGGCGTGTGACAGCGGCGTCGAAATGTGGCCTAACAAAGAATTCGCGTTTCGTTAATAATGACAATAATGTAATATTCTTGGTATATTGTTTTGGGCTTGTCGTTGTGCTTTTCAACGTTCACATTTGAAATACATTGCTACATACTTACTGTGTAAATTCGGCTCTTATTCAACTTTGCTGGCATAAATGATGAACGAAAGCAGTTAAGGTAAGTAGGTACATTTTTATCAGCGGAGGAATCCATTGTGGCCAATTAGTATTTCTTAAGTTTGAACAGCTATGGCGCCTTAAACTTTAAAAGCTCTAGTGGATTTATGAAATTTTTTTCCATATGGCCCGAGCGCGTAGTTCAAGTCTGATTTTGCAATGTTTTAAGCACTTACCCTCTTTTTCTTACTACCCCTCTCCACACTCCACTCGTGCACATTTGGTTAGGGCCACTGTGAACCCCGACCCTGTTTGGGGAACAGATAAAAGAAAGTGGCATCGCCCTCTTTTTAGCTTGACCTTCGCTTTGTTTCAGACTGGCTTTCAGAAATGGCTTGCAGAATGATGCCCTACTGCCATCGTGTTGTTGAAAATCTGACAGTTCTCGAAGCACTTTCCAATCTAATTGCCGATAAGTTGGCGGAGTGGCTAACATTTTAGAGGACTCGAGTTTCTGAACTTCATGTAGTTTTGAGCGCCTTGTCTCCGAAGCGCAGGCATCAACTCTCGCATGGCCTCGAAATTTTTCTTTCTTCTGACTAAACTATGTGATCCTATGGGGCTTCACTATAAATCGGTGTAGAACGGCGCAGCAGTAGCGCTTTATACCCTTGAGGAACGCAATTCTGGCGTAGCTCTGAACCAGACCTAAACTCCGTAATGGGGCCCATCACCACCAAAGCTACAGGAATGGTGCTGGAAGGATTGGTCAATCTGCTGCCTATGGTGCCATGTGCACATCGAATGCCAACACTACTGAAAAGCTAGTAGATGGGGTTCCACGGCCCCAGCGGTCATTAAAATTTATATCGGAGGGATCGTAATGATGGAAACTTCGGGAAATTCATCCTAGGGCGTAAACGATGGAGAGGACGAAAGTCCTACTACCAAATATCAAAACCACTCCAAGGGTTCCAGTGGAGTAGCACAGACTACACCTAGGCAACTCCGGCCACCGTCCTGGGTAGCAAGGCTTAGCTCTGCTGAAGTTTCTAGGATCCTCACTTGCGTATTGACTGTGGCAATTACGATGGATGAAGGCAAATGTGGTGGTATAAAACCTCGGGTCTTGTCTGAGTTCGGTTTGCACCTGGGTTATATTAAAACGGTATAATCCGACGATACGAGGTTGGTGTTAGAAATTAAAGGATGTCTACCCACGACAAGGCTTAAGGAATCAGACCAGGAGTAAGGTGGTTAGTTTCCAGTCATCCCTTCTAACGAAAATAGATGGCTTTTCAAAGCAAGTCGTGCCGTAACTGAATACGGAGTCCAATGAGCATTTAGGACTGAGTTTTCTATAGCCTGGACGTGGTGATCCTAAAACTTTATTGAGGCAAGGCTGACGCCACTCTCTCCGTCGTAACGGTGGAGGAGGAGGCAGGTACCTAAAACGAGGTACTGTTGAACAACTTCCACAGGTCTTAGGAAGCTTTTGCTGCTCTACTTGAACGTCCTTAAAGAGGAGACGTGGAGGTGGCGCTCATCCAGGAAGTTTTGGTGAACAACTTAAGGATATTTGATGATGACGTCATGGCTACACATGGCGATAGGAGGCAATCTGTTCGCGTTGGCCTTAGTTTATATTCCAAAGGAGGCTAAGGGCCCTCCTCATACGCCGCTGCGTAACATGATGCACAACTTCAGGGGTGGACTTGCCCCAATTGGTGGTGATGCTAATGCACATCATGCCCAGAGGTGAGTAAGGATATTAACAGTCAAGGTGAGTAACTTTTCAGTTACCTTTTGATAACTAATTTAGTAGTAATTGGCAGTAAGAGGCATGCAACCTACTTTTATGGCGGCGATTCCTAACTTTTCGAAAATTGTTGCGAACGTTCGACTGAACTTAAGAATCACTGAATAAGAACAGGTTAGCATACTGGCCACCTAGCGAGCTGGCTCAAGTCTGTCTTGACCTCAAACCTAAGGGAAAGAGAAAACCCCATTGGTGGTCTCTTTGGCTCTACCGAGAAGTTTACCGAAGGCAAAATACTGAGCTGCAAAATTGGTTAGAAAAGTTGTAATCTGCTGCAACATGCCTATAAAAAAAGACGATAGGAGAGGAGAACAGATCGTCTTAAAAAGATTTTCGGAGTTTCTTCATCTGCCAGGTTAAGAAAAATTATTGTTTTTGTCGAAGTAAGATGAATCCTGGACCATAGTGGGTCGGGAACAGAAGTACCATCGACCTTTCTTCGTGTGGAATGAGGAATACGCCTGTTACGAAAGAGAAGATTATGAGAACTGTACGAAACTTTCAACCCATTAAAGCTGCAGGTCCGCATCTAATCAGAACATCACAACTTCATACTTAGAAGCGGCATGCCACGGAACTAGAAACTTTTGTAGACTGGTTGTCGATCACTTTCAGACCCCGTTTTAAATTTAAGTACACATATACAGCGAGGGGGGCTGCCTCGCCAGCAAAACTTCACGCGATCTTAAGATTATAGTTTTATAGGGTCTTCTTTTTTCTCACTATTAAGAGTCGTTTGCTGTCAAAAGGACTACCAAAACGGAGATTCAAAGATTCACATTCTGGCCACATATATCGAATAATCCTAAAGTTTCAAAGACTATTACCTTGCAGCTTTTGTGGATTTTCAATAAAATATGCCCTAACAAATACCTTGATGACAACTTGGGGACAGCTCTTTGGTCGAGTTTGTAAACCAAACGTTCATCGGCAGCGTAGTAACGGCGAGCACTTGTGAGAACCAAGTTTCGAGGGATGTCACAAGACAATACCCAAGGTGCCGTGCAAGAGAGCCATAGGCGAAAAATCGAGCTTGAAGCCAAGAATTTGCCGTTGGTTTTGCATCGCGATTGTTGGAGCAGCTTTCTTATGTAGAGTTATGGCCTGTTCTAAGCACGGTGAGTAATCTTTAAATACTTAGCTACTAAAATACGTACTAGTTTATTACGGTCAGCTTTCTCGAAAAAAAATATATATATGTATATATCATCAAGCAAGATCTAGATTAAAAAAAGCTCTTTTACAAGGGCCGCTCCATTGCAGGCAATCGCAAACCGCCGAGTATATTTATGCCCTGAAAAGCTTCTCATAAAACCATTTGTCGTTAGAAGGCCAGGCATTTAGTTCGGTTTAACGTACATGTAACAAAAAAAAAACACACACAAATTATATCACGGAAAATAATAAACTTTACTTAAAAAAGATGCTTTGGTCTCGAGGTTCCAGAACAGGGTCAATGTATCAAATTTCAACTGAGCTGGCTATTTTAGTATACATTTTACAAACTTTCACATTTATAATAATAGCGGGATTTACTATAACTTGTCAACTAAATTCCTAAGCTGGTGGCAACCCTCTTCAAAAATATTTGCCAAATAGATACTGATTTCGTAAAATCTCTCTCATTTGATACCCTCATTAAAATATTTCGTTTAACTTGTTGATTAAATGGAATTTAATTTTTTGAACAGGTGGCAACGCTGTTAAAAAATATTTTAAAAACAAATAGTTTTTAGCCATCTTCGTTTCAACGCCTCCACGGTTGTGGTTGTCTTTAGTGAACTTATTAATTATTCGAGTTAGCATTTTAACAGCTGGCAATCCCTTTAAAAAAAATTTGATGTGTACACTGTTGTAATATTTTATCTATTTGGCTTATTAATTAATTGATTATAACTTTTGAAGAACGTGGCAACCCTCATCAAAGAATATTTAGTGTGAAAAATCACCAAAATTACCCACACACTCACTCATTCACACACGTTCATATTTATATATTTAGTATTATTTAGTAGGATTATGCACAGTTCCAAGTTGTAATCACTTTTACGTCACTCTCATTTTTTTTTTGGTTTGCAAAGTTACGCTAACAACGGTTTGCCAATTAAGTACAATGGCTTTCGTCGTTTTAATGCTGAAAATTGAAGCTAACACGTTCAAGTTGAACATTTTTAACTCGACGCCCCATTTTGCTACTAATAACGGTGTTTAATCATTTGAAATTTAGTGTTGTCCTTTCATAAGTGTTTTTTATTAATTCCGCAACACTTTATACTAACTTATTCATTTAAATTCCATCAATGAAGTTATTTAAAATGTACACAATGTGGGCGGTCACATACCTGTTTACGCATTTCGCTTGCACCAATGCAGGCATGCAATAATGCATACATACATACATATTTACAAATAGTTTGTCCACTCAAGCGTATTCACGTACATATAATTGTACATACATTGCCAACTCACGCGTTTAGTCGGAAATGAAATTTAGCTTGAAATTGTTGAATTTCTGCAGCCGCGCACCAACGCGAATTAATAATCGCAAAGCATTAAACGAAAATGCAATAGAGAAATTTGCATACTCTTCAATGTTAGAAGAAGAAAAAAATAAAAATAAAAATAAAAAAACAAATTACTAAATTGCTATGAAAATTGCTGCAAATATAACTAAAAATTGGTTGCAACGTCAGGAGTTGCGCTTGCAACATATTAAATTGTGGCAGCGAAACCGTAAAGTGGGCAGCGAGTGAGTAGTGCTTTTCGGTTGGTTATTGGGTTTTTTTCGATATGCACTTCATCTACATAATTTTATTTTGCCAGTAAATGTTCGTACACACATACATACATAAGTATACATACATATTTTTCGTTTAATTTATCGAAATTTAATTTGAGTTTCGCATTTAAATTCAATTCCTATTAAATTTTGCTTTTTGCTTTTTTATTTATATATAGAATAGTTGAGTTGAAGCAGCGAAGTGCTACGCCGAATATGTTAAAACAACGCAAACGACACAAACGCATGTTGCAAGGTAAGTAGTATTTGTGGCATTAAAAAAAGGTATATATACCTATGCGTATAGATATGTATGTATGTATGTATATGGATAGATAAAAGCACTGGTATGTCAGAATAAGAGATACTGCAACCTGAAATGTCTTTTGTATATCTAAAGCGCTCTAACCCAGTATGCCTAGGACGCCCCTAGCTTCCGTAGTGAACCCTAAAATAGTCTTAGTAGTTGAATTCCTAATAATTAATGGTTTAACGATTGGAGCTTTAAAATAAATTAATCGTTGTCTAGCCCAGGCTGAAATATACTTGGAAACTTCCTCGTCTTCAAAGCAGAGTCAGCATTCTGACACACCGATAATAACTACTCAGTGCATATGAAATCGTAGTTTGTTGTGGCTAGTTTGGCATCCAGAGAGTAGCCTGATATAATTTGTGTTTTAATTGAATGTTATCCGATCTCTTAAAAGTGAAAATTTTTTTTTACAATAAAAAACGTGTAAATCTGATTTTAAAATTTTATAAAAAAAAATTACAATTTCAAAAGCGCGCCCCTTTGCGCTATCCTTATGCCCTGCACTAAATATGTTAATACTATTTTCAGAGAAATTTCTTATACGCAGTTTTATAGCCCATCCAATTTTGGTAAAATACAGTGCAGGTTTCAAGTGCCTGTAAAATAGCCTTGATTTATGACAATTTGTTGTTTTAACGGTGCTGCGCATTTTCATCCACACAAAGTATGCTCGACAAAATTTTTATATGGAACTTTCTTCCATTTTCAATTTGTACAGTCAACCAAAAAAATGCCAAAAATCAACGCCAATTTGCAGTAGCCACTTGAAACTTTCACTTTATTTTACTAAAATTGCACGGGCTATATAACTGCGTACCCGAAATTCTAATTAAAAAAAATATTATTAACTTTTTCACGACTGGTCATTAGGATAACGCACGCCTTTGTTGACTTTTTTTTAATTTTTATAAAATTTGAAAATCGGATTTACATTTTTTTTTGTATAATATACTATATTTTTAATAAAAGGTAATGAACAACAACAAGGAGTATATCGTCACCTGAAATGCGAAAAGACGTAACAGTGACTATTCACTGAAATGGGAAAAGTCGTGACTAATAATTTTCTTTTTCCATAAAACGATGTGGAGAGTTGTAATTCGATGAAATCCATCATATAAATCAAAAAGTGAATTTTGAATTTTTTATATGTAAGCTACGAATTTTTGTAAATATGTGAAAATTGCATATATGTACACAAAATATATATTTAACTGTCTTATTTTGATCAATATTTGCAAATCTTTGCAGCACGGAATATTTTTCGTCGTGGCACAAAAAAAGATTACGAACACTCAGGAAGTTTTTTGGAGGCCATTGGACCCGGTAAGTGAAAAATTTAAGTGAAAAATAACAATTTGCATGTTAGCTGATAACTGAGAAGCTCTAATGAAAATGTGTAATTTAAAAGTGTTGCTAACAAAAAAAGGGCATGAGTACCAGGTAGTCATAAAATTTAATGTGCGAACATCTGTGTCCCAACCTAGTCCCGAAATGGTCCACAAAAAGTTTTGAACCGAAATGACCCCGAAAAGTTCCGAACTGGGCCCGAGCTAGTGCCGGAATAGTTCCGAACTAGACCCGAAAAAGTTCTGAGCTAGTTCCCCACTACTACCGAAATGTACCCGAAAATGTCTCGAATTAGCCTCGAAATTAGCACGTAGAAAAGTCTACTCTCTACTTATCTCGATCGCACGCAAACGGCGGCCCTCGTTGAAATCACTGTATCGCTCCGGATCACTCCCACACTGGCGCTTAACGCTATGCTCCGTGTTGCACCTATTGACTTTGCGGGTGTAATAAATATCTTCATGGGCGGATCGGAGCTGGATATCAGAGTTGTAGAAGGTGTTTTATATCAGGAACGCTCAACAAATCTCATGTTAAGGATGCTGGATTTCTGTAGCGTTTTTAGGCAAAGGTGCACGCCAGAAAGCTGACAGCCGTTTCGTCGATTAGAAGTGTAAACATCTACTCTGATAACCCAGCGGAATGACGGACCTCTCACTCAAACGCCTCGAAATACTTCCAAATCAAGCTGATCTGGCTCCCAGGGCACAGGTACATCAATGGAAATTAGAGAATTGATGAATTGGCTAGGCAAGGTACCCTCGATGCCTTCACCTCGGATAAGGAGGACATAGAAATTCCGTTGGAAACCTGAGGCTTGCTCTTAGACAGATGGGCGTACAGTGGGCTCAGCGTGTGCTGGGATAAAATCCTGATATGCTAAGTTGCAAGGTCCTCCTGGCCGGTTGTTGACCGCAGGCGATAAAGGGAGTTTCTGCAGCTGGCTATGCGACAGCCCTCGATTCTAACCGGTGTTCTTTGCAGATATTGTCCTTTAGAAACTCACGCGGTGTAACTTAATCAGGGATCTGCAGCTGCTTGGATGATGAGGGTGAGAATCATCTCAGCACTTCCTTCTCAGTTTCCGCCGGCATTCGTCAGATTAAGTTTTAAACACCTGGTCACGCATATCTTAAACACTCCCGAGGGATTCTCCGGAGTGGATATAAGCCGACTGCGGAACTTTGTTTTAGGCACCCAGTGCTTCTGTTAACTTAACGAAGATTACCAGTAGTTGCCGTTCAAAGAAAAATCTATGCAGTACGGTAACAAAATGGAAAATCTAATTAAATGGCTATAGGAGCTCACATCTCGGTCCGGCCACCACAATCTAACCTAAACTAAACCTAGAATACGGAACGTGCACTTAGAAATGCAAATGGTTTTATTCTTGAAGCTGGGCGGGCACAAAACCTAAAAATACATTTACAACAAAAAAAGAAAATCAATTTCCATTTAAAGAATGCACGTGCTTGTTCCCATTAAAATTTTTTGTTTGTACTCGTATTTTTCATACTTTCTCGAATACATATTTCTTCTTTGAGAATTCAAATCATACCTAATTATGTTCATACATATGTATATGTATTTGTATGTGTGCACACTTTTTTTTACTACTCACAGTTTTGCTATTAGCACAGCTATTTGCTTTGATGCCCGTTTGTGGTGTGCTCTCAAAGTCTGCATCAGAAATGTATTTTTCTTGGAAATGTGTGCGCACCTGGTACGCTTTGCTGGTAATCGCCTGCCTGGGACCCGCCAGTTTGCTCACGATTTCTGTTGCATTCCGTGCATCGTTTAGTTTCGACACAGTTGGTAAGTTGAAAGGGGATGAATCCGACTATTAATTTAAAATTCTTAAACTATAATATTTTCTTTCCCACTTATAGAGGCGGTCGTTTTCTATGTATCGATATTTGTTATTTCTATAGCATTTTTTCAATTGGCACGCAAATGGCCAGCGCTGATGCTGCAATGGGAGCGTACCGAGTCCCAGTTGCCGCCCTTAAAAACCGAAATGCAGAAAGCAGCTTTGGCGTATCGTATAAAAATGATCACACTGGTGGCCACTATGTGCTCTGTGGGTGAGTATGTACGTGCATACATACATACGTACATAAAGATACAAATCCTATGCGCCCTTGGCGCTGCTCATTGCTACAAAGTTCCACTATTGCACTATGGGCCAGCAAACGATAAAAAGTGGTCAATATTCGAAATCTTATCGGAATGGCTTAAAACTTGCTACAGGTAGTTAGATTTTAAAAATTAAATATGGCGGAGTCAATATGGCGGATAATATTGTGTAAAGTAATCGGATTGGCTTGAAACTAGCTACTCCATGATTACGAATTTGAAGCGAGATTTAAAAAACTCGAAACGGCTTAGTCAGCCTACATAAAATGAAGTTGCCGAAGCCCACCAGCAGGAGGCTACACTACGAATGTAGATTTCAGTTTTTGTTTTTGTTTTTATATCTATAGTTTTTCTACCAATTACGAATGTAGACTTCACGGGTTTTTTATTTTATATTTTGCATTTTTTTTGTTTTTTTTTATATTCATATAGATATTTTTGCGAATTAAAAACTTAGTCTTCGCTTTTCATTTTTTTGTAGTTTTATTTACTTTTGTTTTTGGTTTTTGGTTTTTAATTTTTTTATTTTTTTTTTACCAATTACCAATTCAGGCCTCTTTATTTCTTTCTGTATTTTCCATTTATTTGTTTTTTATATTTTTAATTTTTTTTTACCAATTAAGAATTTAGACTTAGTTTTGTATTTTGGTTGTATGTTACTTGTTTTTGGTTTTCTTAACTTTTCAATTCTTTAAAAAAAAAAAAAACAATTTAAAATTTCAGCTTTTAAGTAAAACAATTAAAGTGTGGATGAATCGTCAGTTATGTTCATCATCTCGGAACTTATCGCAGCAACTCAAAAAATTAAAAATTTGGAATTAATTTTCTATAGGTACTGATAAACACCTACAGTGGAGAGGATGAAAAAGATAAAAAAAAACTCAAAATGTGCAAAATTGAGCAAATTCATTTAAAAGTACATTTAATGCAGAGTAGATTTCATGTTTTGTTTTTGTGTTGTGCGATGATACACAGGAGTAGTACTGCTAAACGACAACGAGCACAATTCATGAAAATTAACGCCTGGCTTAATAAAGATGTCGAATTATTTTAAGCAAAGGCTATTTTGAATTATGGGTTTCTACTTTTTTATATGACTACATCTTATTAACAAAAAACAAAAGACAAAAGGAAAATATTTATTATTTTCTGGTAAAAAAATTTTATTTTACTATACACCGGACATGTAAAGTTAATATACAACTATTTTAATCAAAATGAAATTGTGACCACAATATTAGGGCAATTGCTGTAATATTTCGCTAACAATTACCTTAAATACTTTATATTTTGGCTATTAGCATAAAAAATTAATATTCTAAAGTTGACCTTTGCCCATTTTTGAATGCCTACTGGCCCTCTGTGCATTGCGTTGTGTTACTTTACCACTTTTCTGCTAACTACGTTTCCCTTCTGTTTGACTTTTGTTACGTAGTGGAGCATTTGCTGAGCATGTTGGGTATTATCTATTATGTAAACGCGTGTCCAGCCATGCCGGGACATCCCATTCAGAGTTTCCTCTACTCAAATTGGTCGCAGTTTTTTGTTTACTTCGACTACACCAACCTGGCGGGCATCTTTGGCAAAGTCTTGAATGTGATATCGACATTCGCGTGGAATTTCAATGATATCTTCGTGATGGCGGTGAGCGTGGCGCTGTCGGCACGTTTTCGCCAACTCAACGAACATATGTTGCGTGCAGCCAAGCGGGTAAGGCGTCAAATTGCTTGCTACATTATTTCTATTGGCAAAATATTTTCATTATGCTGTTGAAAATTCGATTTAATTTTTCACTTTCATCTTTTGATTAGAGTGTAAGTTACCCATATTTTTCACTGTTTTTTTATTTTCACCTTTGATTTGTTTCTTAAGTGGCGCATATTTAAAAATATGTCTAACTAGCACTTGTCTTGTCTTTCTTGTTTTCATGGCAGCCAACCACGCAGAAATTTTGGATGGAAAATCGCATAAATTATCGCAATTTATGTAAACTATGCGAAGCTACAGATGACACCATTTCCGTTATTACGCTATTATGTTTCTCCAACAACTTATTTTTTATATGCGGAAAAATTCTTAAGAGCCTACAGTGAGTATTAAGTAGTAAGCTAATATTGTAATTCCTTATTCTGAGTACGGGTATTGAAGCACTAAAATCATTTATCGATTTGAGCCGTGACAAAGAAATTAAGCCAATTGTCTCCCTCCTTTCGAAAGCAGTCAGGTAGTATTTCCAAACATGGCCTGTTCATTGTGTTCGCGGGCGCCCTTGCCTTCGTTATTCATCCATTGGTGTCGAGGCGAGAGATCTTTTCATTCCATCTTCTTCGGTACTCGTTACCTGGGCGAACAAGGCGAAAGATCTTACTTAGAATTGTCTTCTCAAAAGCTCCCAAAGCTCTCTCCAAGTTTCTGCGTCATATAAAAGGCATGAGAAGAATTGAGAAGTAAGAATCGGCCGACGATGTCGATATCATCTGCATACGACAGCAGCATCGTTCTTTTGCTGTATACGGTGTCGCCGCTATTCAGTTTAGCAGTTCTTACAACGCTTTCCAACTTCTTCATCATCTGTTACGAATTCCTCAATATCTTATTCAAATGCCTCTGTAAATTAAGGGGCTTATCCACCCGACTCTTGTATCGGATCTACGTGTGCTTCATAACGCTTATAAAATGCTCTTTATAAAGATGTACAGATACCCGCAGCTGCACTAAAAAGACATTTTCGTTCGTTTTAGGAAAAAGCCATCCTATTCACACGTTATGTACTTCTGGTTCTCGCTGGGCTTCCTCTTGATGCGCACACTAATGCTGTCGTTGTACAGCGCCGAAATTAATGATGAATCGCGACGGCCGCTGGTGGTTTTTCGTGGTATTTCGAGTGAATATTGGTGCCCTGAGGTGAGTTGGAATTAACTTAGAAAAATTTTTAATGATAGGCTTGTTATTAAGTTAAGATTTAAACACTTTCAAACACTTTCAAGTCGATAATTTGAAAAAAAAACGCGATTTGAAAAAACCGGTTCCCCATTTTTAAATTAACCAGTTTTATTTGACATATTTTCTCTGTTTAAAAGGACTGGAAGAAACGATGTATTGCGGAACGCTTTTCCGTCGTCCCTTGTCAAATTTAGTTTGGAGATAAACCAGTTTCGGCGTTGTGTCATCTTTATCGAGAACAGTAAATTACACTGAAGATGGTAAAACGCTGAAACTGGTTTGTCTCCAAACCAACATAGTATTATAAAATATACTTCATTTTATAACCAACACCATACAAATCCACATTTCAAACTTTGTGCAAAAATTATAAAAATTCAGAGAATTTTTACCAAATGTTTTAGACTTTTTTAAATAAATTTTTAAATAGTTTTGCGTATGCAGTCTTATAGCCCAAGCAATTTTAGTATAATAAAGTGCGAGTTTCAATAGCTACTAAATACCGTTGATTTTTGTGAATTTTTTTGTTGACGCTATTACTCATTTTCTTCCAAAAAAAGTATGTTCGCAAATTTTTTTACAAGGAAAAAAATGAACAACAGCTTAGGCTATAAAAATGCAACGCAATACTTTTCCAAAAATTCTATAAAAAAAGTGTAAAATGTTGGTGAAAATTCTCTGAATTTTATAATTTTTGCACAAAGTTTGAAATGTGGATTAGTATGGTGTTTGTTATTGAATGAACTATATGTTTATAAGAAAATAATAAAAATAAATAATATGAAAATAAATAGTCAAAACTTGTTAATATGTGGCGGTCTTAAAATTATGCAACGAAGTGTAGTCCATTCCCTCACCAATACCATATAAACCCAAACATACAACTTTATAGAACACTGAAACAAATTTTATAAAACTTTCATCCAAATTTAAAACTTTTTTCTCAGAAGTGCTTCAATTTTTTTGAGTATAAAGTTTTATAGTTCTTTTGATTTTAGTAATAATGTGCAATTAAAATTTTCCAGGAACTACCGCTGATTTTTTAGAGTTTTTTTGCGCACATATACGTCCTAAAAACGGATGAACACAATTTATTTTTAAATGGAATAAAACCACAAACACCGACGGTAAAATAAAATCATAAGAAATTAATGGTAATTTTCATCTAAGATTTAATGAAGTATAAAACTGTATACTGTGGGTCAAATGAAATAAATTTTGAGGGTATGCGTATCGAATTTTGCAAAAAAAAATTTCTGAAACCCCCTAATGAAGATACATACGAGTATGTATTTACATACATATGCATCGTTAACTTAGAGCAATATCATACAAGTAGCTATGATAAAAAATATTTGAAGCCATCATAGACAATAAGCATTTATTATAACATAAAAAAAAAATAAAAAAAAATAAAACAAACAGAAAAATCATATGATTAACGTTTTAAAAATAAATACGCCAAAAATAATTTTTTATTTTTTTTGCCTTAAAAGCACACGTAATAGGTCAACATTTTTACAACTCTTAAACTTCTTAATCAATGATAGCAATGAGTACTGAAAATTCCTTGTCCACTCAATAAACGTTGAAGCAGCACTTCAAATGGTGGTGATAAAATTTACTCCTTAGTTCTCGTACATAAATAAATAGATACGTATAAGTTAACTTTACGTCTTCTTGTTGTCACCTTGCACTTTTCCGCATTACGCCTTTTCCACTCTATTTACTTTGTATATTTTATCTGGCAATAAATGTTGATTGGCTTAATACACTTGTGATTTGATGGCGCCCAACAGTTCCACTTTGACTTAGCTCAACCTCCAATTTCCTTTTTCTTTCTTTATTTTCTCACCTAGTTGACTGCATTTCTTCTGCCATTCATTGCAATGGGTATCTCACTGGCCGCTAAAGTAGAGTAGCATTTTTTCCGTAGAAATTATGCAGCAATCGATTTTACTAAAGAGATTTATTCTTGAAGCAGTTATTGTGTTTGGGAGGTGTTTGTATAAAATAGAAATTTTACAATTTATGTAAGGCGAAGAGAATCAAAAAATAGTTTTATTCGGCGCGTTTCTAAGGCGTTACTGTTTACCTACCTCAACTGCTGCTAAAATATTGACAACTGTTGAGTCCAACAGTTACGTCCAGTGTAACCAAAATGTTGCCTAAAAAGTTTCCACTTTTTTTTTTTGTTTTAAGTATCCACGTATCAATCTGAAAACAAAAACCTACAAGTTGTAGTAAAAAAGCATATTTTTTAATGAATTTGTGATATATTTGATTTTTTTTTTTGCTTTTTTAAGCATTTCAATTTATGTCTCACATTTTCATGTGTAATTGTAATACTAAAATTAAACTTTTTGTAAATAAATTTGAGGCCACTGAAACAGAATATGAATCCATTTAATAAAAAAAAAATAAGTTTCAAGATATAAGCAAAACTCATGTTCTCTAGGATCTTTCGGTCCTGTAGCGGGAATGTTAGGCGTACCCAACTAGGTTATGTATTTCGAAATAAACATTTGCTTTCCTTTAAGTGCATCTCTCAAGTCGTTAACAATTACCGTTGATTTTTTAGAATTTTTTTTTGTGGAGGGTGTTGCGGATTTTTGTTTTCATATAAAAAAAAAATTTCATCATGTGTTATATGGAAGAAAATGCACAACACCCTCCACAAAAAAGATTCTAAAAAATTAACGGTAATTTTTAACGACTTCATACTTGCACTTTCTTAGACTACAATTAAATGGGTTACAGAACTGCATACACGAAACTCTACTAAATATACTGATTAAAAACTTGGAAATTTTGATGACAACTTTTTTAAATTAACTTTTTTTTGCAATTTTTGCAAGTTTTGAAACTTTTATTTTTGTGGTTTCCGTTACAGAGTGAATTATATTTTATATGAAGATTATTAAAAATAAAAAATAAACATAATTTCCAAACAATATCATTATGAATTTCGTTTCTAATTAGTTGAACGCAGGTGTACATATTAGAATTATCTAATTCCCTAAATTAAAGTTGAATTTGATCGTTTAAGCCAGTGAAAACGCTGGGAGGTAGCTTAGAGATAAAGCCTTTTAAAACCCATTACCATTGATACCCGTATTGCAGCAATTCAATTAACTAATTGAGCAACATTTTTTTAACAGGTGGTAACTCTGTTAATATTTTAGCCTAGACATAAACCTTCTTCTCCGAGCCGAGTCGAACACATAAATATGCGTGCTCCTACAATCGGACCACGGCAACATGGACTACATCGATGTCAAACGTTAAGCAACTTTATTTTCTTTGTTTTGGTGGACTAATTGGACATCCTCCCATTCTATTTATTTGATTTTAAACGTTTACAATTCTATATATTACAACACGTCTTTTCTAAACATTTCGAGTTGAAATATTCATAAAAATAATTTTGGTCGCATAAATCGGCCAAATACCCCCATGTGCAGCGTTCTGCCAAAATATCTACAAAAATGCAGTGTTGCGGTCTTTTGAGCTAACGAAGTTCTCTAAACCGTGCTTGTAGTTTTGCATTTCATGGTTTTCGGCAATCGCTTGCTGAAATTAACGAAACAATCTCGAAATATATATGAAGAATAGCGAGCAGGTAGTTACCGCGACTGAGAAAATCTATTCTAAAAAGCCTTCTTTGATCCACGTATCTGGAGGCGAAGCCTAGTTACAGCATCGTAGTGGCACATTTAGTGCTCTGCTGTTTCCTGTTGCTTGTGATACAATCTTTACTAGTCAGAGTAGAAAACTCCTTGACGAACAAGTGCTCAGTTATCCTACAGTAGCCAGTAGGAAAATAAAAAACTTGATTCCTATTGAAGTTAATGGACGGCTCGGTTCTCCTTGTTGATATTTCTGATAAAAGAGTCTGTATGTTACCTCCCGTATTTGTCGAAAAGGTTGTTGGGCCTATGAAATTCTATGCAGCGCCTTTTTTTTGCGAGCATGAGGTGCGATTATCAAATGTGGTAATCCCGGTTCCTAGATACTATGAGTATTAAAAGCTGAGGGCAGTCTCATACCAGCATTGCTGGCACTTCGTTTATTTTCACGGCAAGAAGCGCAGCCCTGCAGTCAGAATATATGTAGATAAGTCTTTTGGTTGCCCTACTTTCAATATAATATCTCAGACCTAGTCCAGTCGTGACATACACCTTGGCCGTAAGGATAGAGTTAACTTGTCTCATACTAATGAAAAGGATCCCTCTGGGTTGTATGCCATAGGTACCTGCTGCGACGTCTTGACCAGTCTTGGAGCCTTCAGTCTGCAAAATGTCCCAATGGACGTGATCGTCCGGGACAAAGTAGCAGGATGCAGTGGAGAAAGATACAGGCTGCCAAACAGCGGCACTCCGGACCGACACTGGGTCCCCTCTAGTCAAGGAGTAACAACATTATGATGTGCAAGCCCTACTAGTGGGATAACACAGACGAGGGCACTCGAACAGACATTTTCTTGCGGCAAAGCCCTCGCCTAGGTACGTCAGAACGCATCTATATGAACTGACGGACGAGGCGCCAAGGTTAATAAAACAACCGATAGGCCATAAACGCCACTCATAAGGAATCGGCCTCGACTTATACCAACTACCAACTAAGCTCAGATATGCTCAACGAATTTCTGGAAAGCGGAGCGTTACCCCATTACTAGACAAACCTCTTCGAATAGCTTTATCTAGGTGAGATTTCCATTTATGGAGAACTGGAAGGTAACTATTTGACTTCCTTAGAGCAGTGTATTTCTTCTATATGAAGAAATACTTCTAATAAGTTATCCACTTCTCTTTAACGCGATAAAATGAATATGCTAATCTTCTTAGAGTTCACGTCAGAACCGACATGTAACTATCTTTCGTACTAATTCCTTGATGAACTCCTTTTCTTTGCCCCTACAGTGACGTGGTACCCAGCGTAATGTTATGCAAGAGTTGAAGCACATCAAAACAGTATTTGACAAGCTTGAATTTGTATATCAGCACATTCTTTGTCCCTCATTCTCGTTTCGCCTATTACTTGTTTCTTTTTAGCCGACTTCAAAAAAAGGAGGAGGTTATCAATTCGTCAGAATATTTTTTTTTATGTATGTTACCGAAAAACTTTGTACCACATCAACCGATTGCCATGATTATTTTTCTATGAGGAAAGTGGTGTCTCAGGGGTGGTCCCACGCTAATATAGTTTACATCCGATCATTGGATCATGAAGACATTAACGGTACTCCTAAATTTGTATATGAGAATTGAAGTCGGTTGTGTTTTCTGCTTAAAAATTACTTCTTTTCTCTTTTCTACTTTTCACACAAATTGCATTGCCAAACATTCATGCGCTGACACCCACATATGGACATACATACATATGTATAATACATGCTGACAGCTTAAACGTTTTTCGGAGGAAGTGACCACAGACGTGGTTGCACTATCGGGCATGAAATTTTTTCATTTGACTCGTGGGCTGGTGCTCTCGGTAAGTAACATGTAATATGTATTGATTGAGAATTGCTCAAACACGCTGAATACTCGTAGTATTGCAAGATTACGTCAAGACTTATTGAAAATGTCGAAAATGCTTGCAGTAATTCACATTTTTTCCAGTGTTCATGCATAGTTAGTCTGCATACTTTTTCATATGCTTATATCAAACTGCTTTATATCTTTTCTTGTGAATATATGGATATATTCATCATTATATAGGTATTCAATTTATTTGGTTTTGTTGATATCGGTTATTGTATTTTATTGCATGATTCTCATTTCTTCTTCGCAGGTAGCCGGCAGCATTGTCACCTACGAATTGGTTTTGCTTCAATTCAATAAAGAAGACAAAGTGAACGATTGTTACGAATTTTGAGCAGCAAGTTCAGCAATTCA